CACAGTTGCATTGGATAATCGCAATTGTATGATATTTCGATCAACTTCTGGAGTTATCAACCACATAATCATTACGCAGTAATAATCGAATTTTTGTGAGAAATTACACTTTTATATATTACATAAATTGTTTTCAGGTGAATATCACATCTGGTGACATTCAAGTTTCCTTGGTAGATGACCCCGCATTGGGTATAAACTACATAGTGGATGCAGGTGGATCTGGAGTGCTTTCGTCATCCTTCGAAAGTGACGGTGACTGTACTCTGGAAATTACAACATCTACTGGGACCATTGACAAGTTATCCCAAAGTACCAAGTAAGATATTCTATTATGTTCGTTTATATCAATTATTGGTACTTGCTTATATCACAAACATTCTAAAATAATAATATTTTCAGTGCATCGGATGAAAACAGTAACACCTCTCAACAATCTACCGAGGTAAGTTTGTTAATTTATTATAAGAAAATTAGTTTAAGGGGATGCTGGAGTGTTTCTGCACTTTTCGCACTTTTGCTCCTAGAACTGTCAATTCGTGAAAACATTTGTGTAATATACAAATTATGTGGCTTTTGTGTACGAACCGACAGTATTCCACTATTCGGACTAAATCAGAAAACAGCATGGTATTATTGAAATTAAGTTCAGAAGCATAACAAAAAAAAGATCTAAGTTACCTAATCTATAACTTATTCGAGTGAATAGACCACATACTTAACAGCGGCACACGATACTCTTTTTCTTACTGGATTGCTTACGAGAACCAATAAGGATTTAGAGTTTTAGATCAGGTGACTTAAAGGCCATTTTACAATTGCGTAAACGTGGTTGTTATCGGTTTACAGTGTTGTAAAACACAGTTTTAAACTAGCATCTCCGATTGTAAAGCCTGTTGTAAAAGATGGCTGAACTTCATCTTTTACGACTACAACGATGTAGGACGTAAAAGCTTAACCAATCATTCACTTCAATTACGACGTATCTCACTCTATTGTATATTACTTTGATGTACAACACTTACTACTACTTCTACTCCTACAACCCTACAACTACGTTTACGCAATTGTAGAATGGCCTTAAAGCTGAATCCTGATTGGCTCTCGTAAGCAATCCAGTAGGAAAAATAGTATCGTGTGCCATTGGCCGCGTTCAGCAGACACAACTGTTGAGTGAGCGCTCAATGATTTCTTAACATGATTGGCTGGATCTAAAAGTATTAGCCAATCATACTGAGCGCTCACTCAACAGTTGTGTCTGCTGAACGCGGCCATTGGCTTTATACTTTTAGACTGCGCCGTCTTGAGGACAAGACAAAACGGAGAGGGCAATAGCGCTAGGAAACCTTTCTTAGCTTTAAGTCGTCAGATCTAAAACTCTGCATCCATATTGGTTCTCGTAAGCAATCCAGTGAGAAAAATTGTATTGTGTGCCGTTGGCTTTAATTTCAATGATACCATGCTGTTCTTTGCCTTAATCTGAATAGTGGAACACTGTCGGTTTAATCGACACAGCTACGTCGAAATGTAGTGGATATAAGATTCAACAAATAAAGCTTATGCCAGTTGTGTCGATTAAACATTCCAAAGATTGATAATTTATATATTACACAAATGCTTTCATGAATTGGCAGTTGTAAGAGCAAAAGGTGCCAAAAGTGCAGAATCACTCCAGCATCCCCTTAAATAAGGACATTGGCATAAAAGTTACATTAATCTTTTTAATTCTGTTTATATCGCGAATGTGTATACAGAATCTTATCTTTCTAAAATTTAAATTCTCAAAATTTGGAATCAATATTTGATTATCAACAAGTGTCATAGTTCTAGTCTTCTAAACAGTCGATAATATTAATACATTAATACAATATCTAATGTTAATAAGAAACTATATGATTTATATAATTGGCAGTAATGTTATTTTCTATATTATGCCAATTTCTTAGTTTAATATCAGTGATATATAGATATTAGTGGTATTATGTTTGACTGATATTTGTATGACTGATATAATAGATATATAAAAAATAATGAATGTGTAAGAATGAAGTAGACAGTGTACAACATAGTCAATGATAATTTCTGTGCAAATGTGATAATGTCACATTGACGCAATCGATAAGAAATTAAGGGATTACACTAAAGTTCATCATTCGAAATAAATAATATGCCACAAGTACGAAGTATACCGTGTTATTACTAGGAACCTATTTTCGTCAAAGGAATGCTTGCTCTCTGTCCACACTGCGGCTACAGTTCACTACCCTTGAACCGATGTGAAAGATGTAAAACAAAATTAAATATTGAGGAAGTCAAGCCAATACCCATACCAGAGGGGAAGGAGACTGGGATGTCTGTCGATGTAAGGATTATGACTGCAATGCCAGAAGACCGATAAATTTATTGATACAATGTTATAATGATTACCTGTCACAGTGACTATTTGTTATAATGATCGATTGTCTGACTGATGAATGGCTAACAGATTTAGTTTACTTAAGGTTAAGAATTTAGTCTAAGGGAACTATTAGCATAGCATTTTTTGATATAGTAAATTTAGAACGCTCTTATATTTCAGGACATGGTCATTAAGAAGTATTTTATTTAGAAAGATTTAAACACGTTAATTGTAAAATTAAGACATTTTATATTACTGCCATGTCATTACAGGTCAAGTTGAAAGCAGTTTATAATCATCTTAATGTATCATACAATAATATTTTTTGTTGGCAAGTTTCTTTGCCATTATTTCCCATGTTAATTTGTAGATATACATTACGATTGTATATCTTTATAGATGTTCTATAAGAAGAACAACGAACGAAATACTATGAAATTGGAGAAAACAGAACGAGACGGTCCTACATGCAAGCGGCCCAGAGCAAAGGGTAAGGGTACAGCTTCAAAACCAAAGCCTATTCACAAAGAACCAGGTATGTATAATATATTTTGTGCAAGACATATGTATATGTGTAACATGTGTATTGATGATTATTTAATCAATTTCCAGAATGTTTGACAATATCTTCTGACGAAGAGGAAGAAGGCAGGACTAAAAAAGTAGGAAGCGTTACTAGTAACGCAGTAGTAGGCAATGCAACTAACGCTTTTAACGAAGAAGTGGACACAATTCTGGATAAAGAACCAATAATTACAAATTCTAGTGCATGTGACATGTTTGGAATGGATAATGAAGAAAATAGTAAAGGTTTATATTTTATAAGAAATATATTTTATAAGAAATGATTGTCAATTAAACATGTCGGCTAATAATATAATGATGGGATAATGTCGGATTTTAGAGATATATGAAAATCAGAACTTTTTAGATATTGGGCAACAACCACAAACTGCTCTAGAGTGTCGGACGGTCAGAATAGGTTCTTACAAATATATTCCTCGGGATAAAGTAGTGATTTCCCATACTGGTGTAAGATTTAGCGTACCTTTGTTAGAAGATAGTAAGTTGATTTTATCTGTAGAGCAGCAATGTCTTTCACAGATGAACAGTTTTAAAAACTTTTTGAATATTTTGCAGATAATAGTTTTGTTATTTTGGATGTGAAATATAGAGATATAATTAAACTTTTAATTCATTTTGGAAAGACAATGCCAGTACTATTCTTTTATACGTCTACAAGTACAGGAGCTATGATACGCGAATTATTAGGAATGCAAGATCCAAAAGGGCCATATTATGACCCTGCTGGAAAAGGTTGGTTATGCATATGCACTCTGTATTTTAAATAATTTTTGTAGTACCTATAATTTCTCTTCCATCATTCCTCTAAATTTTGTGTTGCTTTTTCATACTGTTTTGTTAAATACTATGACAAACTCCCTCTTTCCGTCCGTTCTTCCGCCTTAGCCTTTATCGTTTCTCCGCCTTTCTCTCTCTGCTAGCGTACGCGTACTCTATGACTTTTCTAAATACATTTATACTCTGCGTGCGTTTCTACCGTATTGCTTACATCACTCATGTATATCTATACAGGGTGAGTCTTTCCATATCCGACAAAATTTTTGAGAAGATAGAA